GGGGGTAACTATAGCCTTGTGCTATGCAGAAACATAACTTCCTACCAGAGGTAACAATTGTCTCATATCCTTACTTTTTAAAGGGGGGTTAGGTATAGATTTATGCTAACCCCACCTTTTAAAAGGTAAGGTTATGAGACAATTGTTACCTCTGGTAGGAAGTTATGCTTCTGCATAGCACAAGGCTATACTTAACCACCTTTTAAAAGGTAAGGTTATGAGACAATTGTTACCTCTGGTAGGAAGTTATGTTTCTGCATAGCACAAGGCTATACCTAACCACCTTTTAAAAGGTAAGGATATGAGACAATTGTTACCTCTGGTAGGAAGTTATGTTTCTGCATAACTTGATACAGCATCTCATGTGTTTCAATCGCTGGTTTTATATCTCCCTTCAGTACCTGCATTATAAAGAAATAACATAAAAACTGGCTCAGTTTTAAAATATTAATTACTTCTACCATTTAAAAACATGCCATTAACACTGATTCATAAACATATACTTATAGGTAGAGAACAAAAATGATCAGCATATCATTTTGAATCCACAAGGTTCCAAAAATTTAAAATACATTTCTAAAAAGAGACTTAAATATGATGTTCCAACACGAGATAAATTATTCCAAAGTTGTAGACCTTTAAATAAATGAAGTATTTGATCATTATATATCATCTGGAGTTGGTCATAATTTCAAAGTTTTAATTTGAATAATTTTTGTAGAATAAACCTTGAAACCAATTAACTTTAAATACCAAAATATTTCTGTTTAATGGTGATTTAATAAACCTTGAAACCAATTCACTTTAAATACCAAAATATTTCTGTTTAATGGTGATTTAATAAACCTTGAAACCAATTAACTTTAAATACCAAAATATTTCTGTTTAATGGTGATTTAATAAACCTTGAAACCAATTCACTTTAAATACCAAAATATTTCTGTTTAATGGTGATTTAATAAACCTTGAAACCAATTCACTTTAAATACCAAAATATTTCTGTTTAATGGTGATTTAATAAACCCTGAAACCAATTCACTTTAAATACCAAAATATTTCTGTTTAATGGTGATTTAATAAACCTTGAAACCAATTCACTTTAAATATCAAAATATTTCTGTTTAATGGTGATTTAATAAGCCTTGAAACCAATTCACTTTAAATACCAAAATATTTCTGTTTAATGGTGATTTAATAAACCTTGAAACCAATTCACTTTAAATACCAAAATATTTCTGTTTAATGGTGATTTAATAAGCCTTGAAACCAATTCACTTTAAATACCAAAATATTTCTGTTTAATGGTGATTTAATAAACCTTGAAACCAATTCACTTTAAATATCAAAATATTTCTGTTTAATGGTGATTTAATAAGCCTTGAAACCAATTCACTTTAAATACCAAAATATTTCTGTTTAATGGTGATTTAATAAACCTTGAAACCAATTCACTTTAAATATCAAAATATTTCTGTTTAATGGTGATTTAATAAGCCTTGAAACCAATTCACTTT